GTATAATACTATTTATGTGAATTTGTGCCACAGATAATATTGTGGCAGATACCATGAGTTCAAATGAAACATGCTGCTCTAATGACAATCTGGTCATTTTACAAACAAAAAGTGAAATATGAAGCAACTCAATTCAAATGACTTTACTGGCATCAAAGTTTAAATAAACAACATCGCCAAACTATCAAAACACAATTTATAACTTGTATTTAAATAATTCAACAGCATAATTCCAAAGGTTCTGTTGCCATGTCAACCTGTGATGTCATCAACTGACATCAAAGGACAACAGCCTCCATTAAAGGGAACCGAATTCACATCACTTGCTAACTTCTGCTCCTGAGTGCAAACCTGAAACAAGTTTACTTGTGAAAGGATAAACCCTCTACAGTATCAGCCAATTAACTTCTGCTCCTGAGTGAAAACCTGAGACAAGATTACTTGTGAAAGGATAAACCCTCTCCAGTATCTGTCAATTAACTTTTGCTCCTGAGTGAAAACCTGAGACAACTTGTTAGAACTTCTGTCTTTTTGAAAAGGATTGGAAAACTTCGCAGACGTTACTGAAGTAAGTAGGTTTCAGGATTCAAGATTCAAGATTTTTATTTGCCATTTATGCATAAACACACAGTCTAGGCATATAGGAATTGTTGTGCAGGGCTCTCCTGGATTCAAGTAAAGAGTTTAAAGCCAAAAGAACAAACACCTAGTCAAAGTATAATATTACCCGAGAATACAAAAATAGTTAATAAAATTGTGGATACAAGAATAAGATAACAGATAAAATGGGGAGTTTCAAGTATTGCACATGGTATTGAACATAATGGAAGCGTATATGGTATTCTACTTAGTAGAGTAATGAGGGGTTATTGCACAGGTTTTTCACATTTTAAGCTTAACTTGTATATATTGTGTATTTATTTAGTTTTTATGTTGTGCACATTGGGGGCCATTGAGTCAAATTCCTTGTATTCTTGAAATACTTGGCAACAAAGTTTATTTTTATGGTTATTTTGTATTTGCCATCAGTCTACAGGGAAAAAGTTGTTGTAAAATCTTGTTCTGTGTGTGATGATACTGTCCGCTCTGCTATTCTTGAGGTGGTGGGTGTAGTTTTTGTGTGTGAGCTGGGTGGAGTGAGTCTCTGATTATGTTCTCTGCTCTTTTGCGACAGCGCTGTGTGGATATTGGCTCCATAGCAGGCAGTTCAGTCCCAATGATCCCAATTTCCATCAACAAAATGGATAAGTACTGCTGCACTGACTCCCAGAAATTGAGATCTGCCCACTTCCGGCCTCTGGAGAACAGCAAAAGTCTGGGATGTGAGGTCTGAAGGTCACAAGGTGACACCAGAACCTCGGACAGCACATTTACAAGGACGAGGGAGGTGGATGCGAGGGAGGTGGATGCGAGAGAGGCAGCGACAAAGATATGGATCATTGGGTCCAGTTACATACATCGTGGGGAGAAAGCTGCGCACAAGATGTTTGGTCAGAACTTTGGACCTAATGCCATAGTTGAGTGGTTTGGAAAAGGGGCATGCGCTGGAGTGGGGTTCTTCCCCGTTTCTATGGAGAGCTGGCCAAAAACAGAGGCCCCCCGACATTTTGGTCGTCCACGCTGGTGGCAACGATCTGGGCCTGACTCCCCCAAGCAAACTTGCATCTCAGATGCAAATAAAATTGATGCAGCTTCGCAAAGAGTTTCCTTCAATGACAATTTTGTTTTCCTGCATCAATGAGCGGCAAATGTGGAGATATGGGCCTCCACAGAATATTAACAATGACAGGAAGATGGTCAACTCACTGATGAGAAAGGCTGTTGGCTGCTTTGGAGGTGAACTTATTGAACATCCGCTCCTGAGGTTCTTCAATAGGAAAATATTCCTGCCAGATGGAGTGCACTTCACTAACAAAGGAAACCGTATCTTTCTGACCAGCATCCGTGGATCCTTGAACAAGATCCTTCAGGCATCTTGTCCAAAAGGGCCACACAGCAAAATGTGCACTTTTAAAAAGAATGCAGCTGCTGCAGTGGTCCAAGTCCCACAAGAGGAGGTCTCAAGGTTGCAGAGTGACACCAGAACCTCAGACAGCCCACTCAGAAAGAAGATGAGGAAGGTGGACACGAGAGATGCAGCAAAAAAGATATGGATCATTGGGTCCAGTTACGTCCATCATGGGGAGAAAGCTGCACACAAGATGTTTGGTCAGAACTTTGGACTTAATGCCACAGTTGAGTGGTTTGGAAAAGGGGGCATGCACTGGAATGGGGTTCTTCCCCGTTTCTATGGAGAGCTGGCCAAACAGAGGCCCCCTGACATTTTGGTCGTCCACGCTAGTGGCAACGATCTGGGCCTGACTCCCCCAAGCAAACTTGCATCTCAAATGCAAATAGAATTGATGCAGCTTCACAAAGAGTTTCCTTCAATGACAATTTTCTTTTCCTGCATCAATGAGCGGCAAATGTGGAGATATGGGCTTCATCAATGACAGGAAGATGGTCAACTCACTGATGAGAAGGGCTGTTGGCTGCTTTGGAGGTGAAGTTATTGAACATCCGCTCCTGAGGCTCTTCAATAGGAAAATATTCCTGACCAGCATCCGTGGAGCCCTGAACAAGATCCTCTAGACATTTTGCCCAAAGGGGACACTCAGAATGACAGTCAGACAATAACTGTTCACTCTAAAACTCTGACTTGATTAATGTGGAGAATGTTTCTCTTCTTGTGTCACCCAAAACTCAATTAAAAATAATGATAATTATAAGTGATTGTGTACAGCTGTGCAATGTCTTTGGAGATAAACAGAGTATGAAAACCTTGATAAGTTTTAAATGTATAACTAAACACCATCATATTTTAAATTCAGTTTGTCTGAAATGCAGCTACAGCACTCTGCTACAAAAAGGAAACAACACCTACAAACATAATCACTGTGTTCATTGAGCCTTCTTGTGCATTTTAATTCGCTTGTTTACCACAGTTTACCAGCTGGTATCATCATGGAGTTCCACAAGAGCATTAGCTCTCTGCACATAACAACTAAATAAAAAACTACCAAGATAAGACGCAAAGCCTCTCAGAAATCCTTGTGGTAAAGTAATGCTTCTTGTTTTCAAAGGGTTCTTTTATTTAGTTGTATTGTCATTTTATCATGAAAATGCGGCTGTGCAGCATCAGTGGACCACACAGGAAGGCTGCAGGTTTGCTGCTGGGTATTCCAGACTCTAGACTTAACCCTGAACCGTGGGCTGATTAACCCTAAGATAGGAAAGTCTTTGATTCAGGAACAGCTGAACAGAGTTAGTTCTTGAGGTGATTCATTCAGAGTTACACGCTTGTGCATGATAACTATAAAAATCTATCATCAGTGGAGCTCCGATACTACTCATGGCAACGAGTAAATAAAATGCAGAGCTGTGATTTTAATCCAGAGGCACAAATAATTAATGCACAATTTTTTACAACACACACACATCAGCATCAGATGAGATCAGTGTGTTAACATCATTACATTTTATTCATTGTAGTCCACTCATTCATTCATTTAGAAAAAATTACTCACTTTAATTTAACGTGAATAAATGAGTGGTCTCTTCCAGGATGACAGTGCCCCCATTCATGGGGCAGGATTTATAGGACTCTACAAATAAATAAATAAAAATTTAAGCAGTACAACCTGTTGTATTCTTAGGGGAAACCTTGGGGAACAGAGTGTCAAAAAAGATCTGAGCCTCTGCTGGTGGAGCAGTCGTTTTGCCCTGCCACATTTCTCATAGCAGCGACATTCCAGCAGTGGAATGGTTCAAGGAAGGTTTGGATCCAAACATCGCCTTCCTATACCGACAGGGCTGTGAGATCTTCGAGATGAAGAATCCAGTTTTCCAGTTCAGGACAAACCTCATCATGAATAAAGTGAAAAATTGGGACATCTTTCTGCATATGTCCAATGTGCAGCTGTCTGATGCAGGAATACTGTATACCAGTGCAGGGTATTCTGGGAGAGGAACGCTGAGCTCCTTAAAACACTGGAGCTCACTGTGGGTATGTTTAGTAAAAAAAAACCAAAAACTGTGCAGTTGCATTATAGTCTACAAAGACGGCTAATTTTCATATTATGGAGAAGGGACATTATAGCTTGCTCTTATTGTGCTTGGCATTTTCTGAAAACGTTGGCTTTTTTGCAACTGCCACTTAGGGTTCCTTCACAACTCAGTGGAGAAAAATGGTTGGGGTCATGACTAAAACTTGCTAATTTAAGTCCATTTAACTTAAAGTTATTCACACATTCAACTTTGCCTGCAAATTGGACAAATATACTTAACATTTTTAAGTAATCCATCCATTTTCCAATGCTTATCTGGAACCAGGTTGCGGGGGGCAGCAGTCTGAGCAAAGATGCCCAGACTTGCCTCTCCCCAGACATTTCCTCCAGCTCCTCCGGGGGAATGCTGAGGCGTTTCCAGCCCAGCCGAGAGACATAGTCCCTCCAGCGTGTCCTGGGTCTTCCCCGAGGCCTCCTCCCGGTGGGACATGCCCGGAACACCTCCCTAGGAAGGCGCCCAGGAGGCATCCAAAACAGATGCCCGAGCCACCTCAGCTGGCTCCTCTCGATGTGGAGGAGCAGCGGTTCTACTCTGAGCTCCTCCCGGGTGACTGAGCTCCTCACCCTATCTCTAAGGGTGCACCCAGCCACCCTGCGGAGGAAGCTCATTTCGGCTGCCTGTAAT